TCATGCAAACTCAGAGTCTTGGTGTCCAGCTTGTACATGTGTGTCATGATAAATTACCAAACGTTATGTTTGCGATGTTACTCTGAGTGTATATCCACACCGGGCGAGCTTGAAAAATATGCCCGGCCACGGTGGGATTCGAACCTACGACCTTTGGAATACTAGCCCAACTAGCCCATCGCAAACATATTATACTAGCCCATCGCAAACATATTATTCACCTGAGTACACAACACCAACACAGAAAAATTCATATTAGTAAGAACACATTGGTATAGAAGGAACTAGATACTGTTCCGAAATATCACTTACTCGAACTGTCCTGACCGCGTAGCTCAGTTGGAAGAGCATTGGGCTAGTATTCCAAAGGTCGTAGGTTCGAATCCCACCGTGGCCGGGCATATTTTTCAAGCTCGCCCGGTGTGGATATACACTCAGAGTAACATCGCAAACATATTATTCACCTGAGTACACAACACCAACACAGAAAAATTCTTACCAAACGTTGTTGCGGCGCTGTTCACAACATTGAACTGGAGGAGGGAGGGTCACGAAGTTTGGTTTGTCAATGTGCATAGAAGAATTTCATGTACTTAGGAGAACTAATTCCCGACAAAAGGAACACGCTCAAAACAGGGACGTAGGAGGCATATAAAATGGGGGGAGCGGTTTCGAGGGGCACTTTTGAAATGAAAAGGGCACCTGAAAATGTTTTCCTGGGGGAGGGGGGCAATAATTGCAATAACTGGTATGGGGCAATAATTGCAATAATATAAAATGCAATCTGAACAACATTTTTCACGAAGGCAAAGAGCACTTTGCCACCGGATAGTAGGCATTTTTAGTGTTTTCAGCTGAAGGAAAAATAATTTCAATCATAAAAAATGCAATCTGAACAACATTTTTCACGAAGGGCACTTTGCCACCGGAGTGAGAGGGCACTTTTTGTGTTTTCTGAAAACTTGGGGGGGGGGGGTCTTGGGCCCCTTGGTCCCCCCGGTTCCTACGCCCCTGGCTCGAAACGTTCGGTTGAAATTCTCCTTGCATTTTCAGGTAGTTGCATCCCTATGAATCACAAAGTTTCTTAGTATTATTGGCACTAACTCACTATAAAGGTAGCCTGCTCGCAGACAGGCTGGTGCAGGCGAATAAATTTCAGTTTGTTTTCGACCTACCCCTTTCCTTAGCTAGGCTTCCGCGTAGTTATTTGAAACGGTGTCTGTCTGGCTATTTAGTTCTGTTTTTGGAAGTCTGGGAAAAGTCCGCGCTGATACTTTCGCCCTCTTTTTAAAATTTACAAGGAAATTGTGTTGGAAACACCGGAAACACCTCGGAAAAGATATGGAAAAGATCTCGGATTTCTGCGCATGTCTGTTCTTGACAACGACGTGGCTGATTTGAGAAGAGAAAACATTGTTTTCCTCGCATGTAAATCAAGAAAATTGCATTTAAAATGGCTACTTATCAAGAATTTATACAGCAGAACGAAGATAGAGACGGTGTGCGATTCAGTTGGAATGTCTGGCCATCTAGCCGGCTCGAGGCAACCAGAATGGTAATATAATTTGATATAATAAGACTGTTATTAACACGTTGTTTCACAATGTTATTATATAAAATTTATTTATGGTCCACGCCGTAGAAACCTGTTGATCTGTAAATATGAACAGTGTGAAATGCACATTTCCTGATTTTTCAGCTTAAAGAAGTATTTATAAATAGAGCATTACTTTCATACAACATGCCATATAAAAGATATGTCTCGTCCTTCAAAAATCCTCTATATTCTTTTTAAATTTTAATTTGGGTCCTGGGAAAGTTGAACTCAACACTGCCTTTTCATATGATTCCAATTAGCCGGACAATCTTGCCTAGTGGGATGAATATCTTTCATCTTGCTTGCTAAGATAAAATAATAATGTGGTTTATTATATCGTGCAAATGGTAGCATACAGGGTGCATTTTAACCCACCCTGGATGCTACCATTTGCATTTGCTACCACTTTATTGTAATGTACCAGTCAATTCCAACTGCGATCATCCCCCCCCCCGGGATTTGGCCAGAGTTTAATCCCGCACAGGCGGGAATTTGACGCAAATCTGAGCCCACCCCGTCGGGCATTTGACTCGGTCCACGGTTGCACAAAATTGGTCGGCGGTTGCACACCAAAAATGTGTCCTCTTTAGAGCATCTTACTCGGTATCTTATGGAAAATTATACATAAATTTTACGTTTTATATAATACCATTTAAAGTGGAAGTCAAGTCCGTTCTGCGCATCGGTTCTGCTATAACAATGTGAGGACCTCTAATGTGAAGATTGCCCAAATTTCGAATGTTTCGAATTTTTCTGAACTTAAACTCTATTTCATATTCATTTAGAAGCATAGCGAACCAAAATAGTGTTAGATATTCAAACAGTACATCATATTTTAAAAAATACAGCAGTTCAAAATGTAAACAAACCATTTGTTTAAATTATGGACTTGACTTCCACTTTAAATATGCCTTTGTTCAAAGTCTGGAACAAGAGCAGGGACATTAAAAAAGCTGTTGTTGCTTCCTGTTTTACTGAATTTGTCTCAAAAACAAAACAAGACATGTGAAAATAGCACAACAAAAAACAACATTCATGACCTAAAATAAATGGTTCCTCTGTTAAAAACTTTCACCTTTGTCCATGATATAATTAATTTGTGATGATTAATGATATGACATATTAAATATAAACAGTCATGGGTATGCCGTATCAGGCCCGGACGGAGGGGCATTTGACGATGGTTTTCGCCCACACCGTGGGTAATTTGACCAAATTTTTTCGAAAAGTCAAATTTCTAGGGGTTTGCCCGGGGGGGGGGATGATTGCAGTTGGAATTGACTGGTACATAATTTGCCAAACTCACAACGAAGATCTTCGGCATGAGTTTGGTAAATTACAATACTATCTGTAGTTAATATTCGGTGTATATTTGGCATAGAGTTTACATGGAATGCACCCGGGTAGCCAGCATGGCTGGCTCTTTTATAAGTAGAGCCTGCCCAAAAGCCCTAGTAAAACTGATACTGCCTACTTAGTTAATATTCCATATTAACACCGCCCACTCGAAATAGTTTTGTATAAATGATGACTTGAAATGTCAATTGTTGCATATTTACTATAGCCGCGCTACATGCTTTCAATAAACTTTTTACAATAGATGGATAGCGATTCAACTGCCTGGAAATACAAGCAAAATGTCAGCATTTCGAGCGAAGGGTTAGGCCCTTCGACTTTGTCTGGAAATTAATAGTAGACGAAGACCGTTCAAAATTATATTATGCTTTGCACCTGTATGGCTGTACTACAGTTATAAATATTGCAGTATTAAATATAATAAATGACTTAGGAAAAGTAAATAGACCCCTTCCCGTGTTATACACATTGGCAGGCAAATGTATTTTAAAAGCTCCAAAGAGAGCTTCGTATTATTATGGTGTATTAATTAAACACAATGGGGAATGATTCTTGTGATGTTACTCTGAGTGTATATCCACCAGGGTGCGATAATTCAATATTTTTGGCCGTACCTGACTGGTACTCCGACAACTTTTGCCGCGTACCTGATCTGGTACAAATTTATTAAGAGTCAAGACGTACCTAAGACTACTTCCGAGTCATGCGTCTTTATACCTACGTATCGTTTTAAATAAATACTGGTCCAAAAGCAAAAAATGTATGGGCAATTTTGTACAAATGAATCTTTAATTATGGTTTTTGTACAACATAATATACCAGTTCTCAAAGCGTCGACGTTGTGACTCGAATGCCATCGCTCATTTACAGTGGATTTACCGAGGGTGCTAACTGTTTGACCTCAGCTACATACAGTGGTGGTTCAGTGGTTCCGGTTTCATATCGCCAAAACATTAGGGTAGATAGGTGGGAAATTTTTGAATATTTTTTTCATGGTTTTGGCGGGTTTTTGCTGGGCGATTTTCAGTAGAGTCCCGACATCAATATTAACTAGAGATGCGTAGTTCCTACGGACGAATTTAGGCAATTTGGTTCAATAATAGCGAGCTTAAGCATGCGACGTTTTTGACAACACGAACGTTGACCGGAAGCAAATTTGTCGTTATCAACCAACCAACAAACATTCTTGACCCAGTCTTTTAACGTTACTCATGCCGTTCGTGTTGTCAAAAACGTCGCTTGCTTAAGCTCGCTAATTATTGTGACAACAGACGTCATTTTGGCACGCGCTGTACGAGCAGCCCGTAACTACCCGGAGAAAATAGGGTCGCACGGTCAATCGTGTTGAAAAAAATAATAGGGTGGGCAGAAAAAAATAGGGTCGGTCGGGAAACCGAAACCACAGGTATTTTTTTAGGCCTTGGTATAGCATTGACAATTAAGCCCAGGTCACACCACACAACGATACGATAACTTGTAAACACGCGATGATTGGTAAAAAATTATGTTGGTGTCCACACAACGAAAACGATAAAATTATCGTTTGACGATAACGATTTTAAAATCGCTCACCCGAGCGATTTTTTTTCAGTCGGACGATGACGATACATTTTTTGATCAAGCGCAAAGATAACCTTTTGGCTTTTTTCATCCCAAAGTATGTCGGATGAGTGGAATTTACATGTACGGCTAAAGTTCTTCACGGTTTTGAATACTTTGGCAGGTTGGCTAGTTATTGCTAGAAGGAAAATGTAAGTACGCGAATAGTAAATTTCCGCGTACCTACGTGGTACTTGGCTAAAAACAAAGAAGTACCAGACCATAAATTTGGCGTACCTCCGGTACGTTGGTACGCGAATTATCGCACCCTGTATCCACACTGGGCAAGCTTGAAAAATATGCCTGACCACGGTGGGAATCGAACCTACAACCTTTGGAAATACTAGCCCACACTCAGAGTAACATCACAAGCATCATATTCACCAGATATACACTCAGAGTAACATCACAAGCATCATATTCACCTGAGTACATTACACCAACACAGAAAAATCATGGACAATGAGGAATGTACAGTATTATTTTATATAATCGTATTAAATTTGCCAGCCAGCAAAATATAAACAAGGCAAGGACAGCCAAGGTTTTATACTCTATAAACCATACAGTAAAATCATACAGTAAAATCATACGACATATGCAGTAATAGCAGTATGGCTTGCCTTATTCTGTTTAGATACCAGTATATGTTATACCATATTAACTATGTTATACATTTTACACTTTGTCTTTTGAATTTTATGCTGTTTGTTTTTACTGTATTTATTTTTACATATTTGAATAAATTAGCGTAACATGTCAATCAACCTGTCGTTAACGTAAATTCAGCCAATCACAATTCTCGGCGGCTGGCTGCCGAGAGTGATCAATTTGACTAGGGCTTTCGGGCAGGCTCTACTTATAAAGAGCCGGTCATGCTGGCTAGCACCCGGGTGTAGCATGATGCACGTTAGGTGTGAAGCAAACCATTACTGCGACAACATAACATGTGAAGCGTGCCATTTATGAACACTCAGGTTTATTGAATTTTGGTTGCAGAAACATGTTATGTTCACTTGGAAATTATCTTTTAAAAATTGAAATGAATGATGTCACCATTACTCAGCCGCTGACATCACATTGCATGAATAGTTGGCACTGTAATTGCTTGGGCAATCACTAATAATCAGCTTATCTCTAAACAGCTAAACCCGCAACTGGTCAAAAATAATTTTGTTTATGTCCTTGCCTTGCAGGTGGTTCCAGTTGGATGTATGTATACACCTCTGAAAGAAAGACCAGACTTGCCTCCTATATGTTATGATCCTGTTGTTTGTAGCCGAAGCAGTTGCAAAGCTATTTTAAATCCTTTCTGGTAAGCTTACTGTAATTGCTTTACTCATGTACTGTATGCTAAACAATCTCCTCTTGAGTAGGATTGTGCCCGATAGTTTTTTGCTGGAACTAGAATGGCCTTTTACCTTTTAGACCCTGTGTTGCACTTTAATGGATTAATTATTAAGGTCTAACACCCTTCCATTTGTGTCTAATCACAATCGAATTTGTTGCAGATAATTTCAGTCACATTGATTGCCATTCTTGATTTTATTGCAGTATACACTACACAGAGTTTTGACTCCTTGTTGGTGCCTTTGGCATTATCAGCCAGTGCATTAAGGAAGGCTGTCACCCCCAAAATCATTCAAAATGGCGGGCTTATTTGGGGGATGAATGTATTTTGTTTTAAGTGCAATGGCTCGGAACATGGCAACCTGTTGTAGTTGGTTACAGATTTACACTGAATAGTCATTAGGCCTAAAAAAACTAGCTGTGGTTCTGGTTTCATATCGCGAAAAAAATTAGGGTTGGTAGATCGGAAATAAATTTTTTTTTTAAATATTTTTTTTATGTTTTTTTTTCAATAATTAGTGTGACAACAGACACCATTTTGGCAGCAGCCCGCAACCACCTGGAGAAAATTGGGTCGCACGGTCAATTGCGTTGAAAAAATAATAGGGTCGTCAGAAAAAAATAGGGTCTGTCGTGAACCTGAACCACAGGTATATTTTTTAGGCCTTACTCCGTGATTTCAAGCATGCACTGCTTAAACCATACGGTTGCTTAATTAAGTTAATTTATGCTCTCTATTGTCTGCCATAGTGGGTTATGGATTTACTGGCAAAGTTGCCTGTAGTGCTTATTATTGATGTTTTTCCTATTATTTTATAGCCAAGTGGACTACAGAGCAAAACTTTGGCACTGCAATTTTTGCTTCCAGAGAAATGCTGTGAGTTTTTTCTACTTTCAATAATTATATCAGAGACAAACACAATGTGGTTTTGTTAAAAGATATTCAAGGAAATTCTGGAAGGTTACATGCTTGTCATTCAAGAAAGGAGTCGAAATAGTGTTCCAAGCTTGAATGAAAACTGCAGCCTGTTACTTATTGTGTCTATTATGCACTAGTCATTCGAAACCCCCCAACCCCGGGACTAAGCGGAGTTTTAACAGGATTTAGCAGAGGAAATACAGGATTTTAACAAACATCGATTTTCTAGTAGCCGGGTTTTAACACTAGCAAGAAGCAGTGGGGCATGTGTGCCAGGTTTTAACGACCGGGTTTTAACCACCATTTTACGTGTTTTTATGGTCCAGCATGGACGTTCAAGATGACTTTCAGACGATTTTTTCTTATTCAATATTCCTTTATTTTCTAATTTCTACTGTGAAAATCAGAGGAAATTGAACATAAAACTTTGTCCAGGGGAGCCAGGTTTTTTAAGTCCTTTATTGTCGATTTCAGGTAACTTTTCAACATGCTGTTCCCAAGTTTGTTGCAAACTTGCCTATTATGTTGTCAAGTTTGGAAATTAGGCGTGAACTTCACAACAAAGTTTGCAAGTTCATTTCAAAGTTCGAACTTTGATTGTAAACAAATGTTCATACTGTAGTTGGAGTTGAAATTACTGCATAAGGCCCTATGCACGTATTACTGCAGTAAAATATTGGTCCAGTGGTCTCCCAAGACGAAAAATGCATTTTTAAATAAATTTATAAATGAAATTTTTACATTTGTTTACAAATATCAAAGTTCAAACTTTGAAATGAACTTGCGAACTTTGTTGCATATACTCATTTCCAGTGGCTCTTGAAAGCTTGTTTTGCCCTAATGGATGACTCTAGCTATTCACGAAAGTTTGATCTAGACAAGAAGAACAAAATTTATTACCATAGCTGGACATAGCATCTTAAAATGAGTAAAATTGCAAAGTTTGGTTGTGAATTGTTGTAAAATGAGGAAAATATAGCCCTGTGACGTTCGCAAATTTTGTATATACTTGCACCTGAAAAATAACCATTTTTGAGCCGAAAGTACATGTAGTTATTTTTACCACACGCAATACAAAATATATACAAAATTTGCGAACTTCACAGGGGTATATTTTCTTCACTTTACAACATTTAGCAACCAATCTTAGCCGTTTTACTCATTCTAAGACGCTCTTTCTAGCTGTGGTTTGGATTTCGTTCTTCTTGCCTTGATCAAAATTTAGTGTATATCTGGAATCACCCATTGTTTTAGTATTTGGTTACTGTTTATCAATGTCCAAATGTGGGATGCTACAGTAAGATTTTCTTGGTGGATACCAAATTCCAAGTTACTAGTATCCCTTTGGATAGTGCTGGGAACCCTGGTATATATAGTAATAACAGTAGATTCCAGCCCTCAAAAACCGTCAAAATTGAGGTCGGCAAAAAAATGCCGACCTACTGTACATCTGACCCAGGTCGGCACGTCTCGGCATTTTTCAAAATGAGTTTACGTGTTTTGGAGCACTAGTAATCACGTATGCGAATCATTGAAATTGGAATATAAAGCATGCCTTTTTCCGCGGAAACGCGAACTACAGTAACACGACGGCTTTTCTTTTGAAGTCTTACCTAAATTAATTATACATAGAATTTTTAAACAATTTTTAAACCTTACACCGAAGTGTATTTAGTTAATGGAACTATGAATCGAATTCTATATCGCTGACTTTTTAACAGCTATCAGCACCAAAAAAGATTCTTACTTTGGCTGAATTAAGGTCAGTAAAGATTTGCCGACCTGGGAGGTTGATACAGTAGGTCGGCATTGCCGAATGCCAACCTTGTTTTCAGTGTAATAGTTTGACAGGGTTTACAGATTGGTTGGGAGTAAGAGCTTTGGCATCAGAGAATGGCAATTCTTACAGCCTGTCACTTGAAGTCTGCAAACACTAATGCTGACTGTGTTTATTCTTCCTGTAGTTTCCTCCTCAGTATGCTGGTATCAGTGAACAACATCAACCCGCTGAACTTATTCCTCAGTTCTCTACCATTGAGTATACTTTACAGGTAAACTCTATCTACAGTACTACAATATAGATTAACAAACATAGCAGAAGAGAAGATTACCAAATGCCAAAAGAGCCTAGCAAAAACTATCTTGTGCTTCTTGTTTGTATATGTACTTTGCTGTCTGACACTTTTTTCTGCCGACCCTAATATGTTTT